AGGACCACGGGAGCCAGGCACCGCGTCCAGGGCTGGTGTCCGGCACAGCCCGCCCAGGCTGGTTAAAAGGCCCACTGGCCCGGCCTCCCAGCCTGGAAAGGCAAAAGGGGGTGGGCCCGCCAGGCTGCCCTCCCTTCTTCCCTCACCCCCTCCTCCAAGGCCCAAGAGGGCGGGCAGGAGGCCTGGACTGGGAAGTTTTGAGCAGCTGCCAGGGGTAAGAAGTTGGGAAGGAAGGGACCGAGTGAGACCCTCAGCCCACATGTGCTGTGTGGTGGTGGCTGGGAGGAGGGGGGGGGCGGGGATGATGTGAAACAGAGGGAGACAGAGACAGAAATAAAAAGAGATAGAGGCAGAGATGTAAAGAGACAGAGACAGACAAAGAGAGGTAGAGATATAGCAAGAGACAGAAGCACACAGAGAGATAGAGGCAGAGACATAAAGAGACAAAGATAAGACAAAAATACACACACGTGCACACATACACGCACAGAAAAACAATCACTGAAATAGAGAAAGAAACCTACAGAGAGAGAGAGAAAAAGGAGGCTACAGAGAGACACACACAAGACACAAGAGAGGGAGGGGTAGAGAGACAGGGAGAGACAGCCATCCCTGGTGAGAGGGGAGAAGTTAGAACCTAGTGCTGAGCTAGGGAACTGGGAGTCTCCGTGTGAAAAGCCACCAGGGCGTCTCCAGTCCCCGCCTCCAGCTCCCCTTTCCTCCTCTCCTCCTCCCAGGCCGTGGTCTTCTCCCCACAATGCAGAGCCCTCGAGGCCACACTGTTTATTCCCTAATCTCCTCTCAGGGTGGATGTGGATGTGGGGTGGGGCACCTGGGATGGTGATGAGAGCCAGCCAAGCCCCGTCGGCTGAGCCCTGGCGCCCTCTAGTGGTGCAGGGAGGACAGATATTGGGCAGAGATCTGCCCTCTCCCTTGAGGTGTCCCAATCAAGTCCCTGACCCTGGCTGAGCCTCAGTTTCCCATCTCTAAAGTGGAGCTGGTGACGCTTCATCGGTTCGGGCTGCGGTGAGGAGGCAACAGGCTCCCTTACACAGTATCCAGCACCCTCTGCGAGCCTAGCACAGAGTAGGACATGGTTGAGGGCTGTCACTCTGAACTGAGCTCCCCACCAGCTGCAGCCTTGGGCCAGGGGTACAAAAAAAGCCCAGCACAGACACTCAGGCCTTCTGGAAGACAGGCAGCCTCCTCCATGCTCTCTGAACCACAAGTAACCAAGTCAGAGGGCACCTACTGTGTGCCACTTTCCGTGCCAGGTCCATTCACCTCCCTTCTCCACATTTACTTCTCAGACCAACCCTGCTCAGAGGCCTTCAGAGCTGCTTTTGGATAGATGAGGACTCTGAGGCTTAGAGAAGTGCAGTGGTTAAGGTCACACAGCTAGGGGATGAAAAGGCTAGGATTTCAACCTAGGTCCTAGGATTCTGTAACTCCTTACATCACCTCTCCTGTGAGGGCTCCACTGGAAAACAGGCTGTGAACCCCAATAGAGTAGGGGCCATGCTGCTTTGCTCTATCCCAGTGCCCATCATTGGCCTGGAACAGGTGTTCAACCAACATTTGTTGAATGAATTTAAAACCAGTGATCTGATTGACTTCTGTCCTTTGTTGAATCATAGTCGCCCCCCCCCATAAAATGACTTTTAAAAAATATATATATATTCTTATTTGTTTCAGAGAGGAAGGGAGAGGGAGAGGGAGAGGGAGAGGGGAAGGAGGAGAGAGAGAGAGAGAAACATCAATGATGAGAGAGAATCATTGATCGGCTGCTTCCTGCACACCCCACACTGGGGATCGAGTCCACAGCCTGAGCATGTGCCTTGACCAGGAATCAAACTGTGACCTCCTGGTTCACAGGTCCACACTCAACCACTGAGCCACGCCATCCGGGCAACATGTGACTTATTAATGTATCACCGAAAGAGATTTATTATGACGCCATCTGTAAAAGCAGCCCTAACAAGTCGGAAATCAGAAAAGGGGCAGAAAACAGTGACTTACTGACAAAGCAGGGTCAGCTGCCCTCATGGTTGAGGGGCTCCCCCCAATCTCAGGAATTTCCTACAACATACAGTTTGTAGAGTTTGGGGCTCGGGGAGGGGCTGGACTCCTCCTAGTTCCCACTTCGGCTTCTGCCTCGGGGCTCTGCTTGGGGGACTGACTCAGTTTCTCCAAAGAAAGTGTCTCCTGGTGCTGGCGGTCTAGTGGTTAGCATCCAGAGTCCCAGGGTCAGGCCAAGTCCTTTGTTTTGGGGACCCCCCTCCCCTCACCCCAAACCCAGGTAGGAGGAAGAGTCTGGAAACTCAGAGCCCCTTCGAGGTAAATGCAGCTTTAAGTAAAGCTTATCATGGACCCATCGCAGGTAAGGTCTGCTTTAGATGAACTGTTACAGGCGTGTTGGGCTCGCAACAAAGAAACGAAGTCTTATTTCTTCTGCTCTAATTGCTGTTTCTGGAATCTCAGGTCCAGTTCGGTTTCCGCCTGACACCCCGGGCCAGCTGTGAGGCCATCCACTGCACACTGCGCTCCAGGGCTGCACCTCCGCAGCTCAGAGGCTGAAGCCCGTGCTCGGTGGGGGTGGGGGGCGGCCCAAGTCCACTGGCTCCGTTTGGGCAGAGCTGGGTGGGCTCTGCATCCCGTGGGGCTGACTTTAGAAGGTGTGAGGAGGAAGTGGCTGCTCAGGGCTGGCTCAGTGCGTCATCAGTGAGCGATGCCATCAGGGGTGTGGGGACGGGGGCCTCGCCCCCGGGCATTGTGGTTGTGGTGCTTCGTGTGCAGGAGGAGCGCTCGGGCAAAAACCGGCTCCACCTGCAGGGGTGGGAGGTGAGGCAATGAGCCGACGTTCTGCATTACCCACCGTCTATGTTCCCCTGGGAAGTCACAGCCCTAATGATGGCCCCTTCCCCACACACATTTTACATGCAGGGTCATACCGATCAGAGGGTCACAGAGCAGGTCAGGGGCAGAGCTGGGACTAGAGGGAGCAGGGAGGGGCAGTTAGGAGGGGCCTGGAGGGTGTGGGGACTGGAGTGGGGAGGTGACTCACGTGGGCCATGATGAGCCGCTCCTGGGGCTGGTCCGGGGGGCCCGGGTACTCCTCGCCAAAGCACAGACGGATCTGGTACTCGGGCTCTGGGCGACCGTCCTGCAGGTGGGCCCGCAGTTCTACGGGCACTGAGACTGTAGGGGCTGGGCCAAGATGGGACATCCCACCTGGCACCCACCTTGTGCTCATATCCCATGCCCATGTCCTGTGAGCCCACATCCCCACTGTGTACACCCATGCCCTCTGCCCACTTCCACATCTATGCCTACATCGTGCCCACTTCCAGTGCTCACGCCCGATGTCTTGTGCCCCTGCGCTCACTGCTCTGCCTTTATGCCCATCCATGCCCATTGCACTCCCCTAGCCTATCTTGTGCCCAGTGCCCCTGTTGCCCACCCTATGCCTAGTGCCCTGCCCTATGATGACACACCTGCCCACGCCTCTGCGTATGCCCCACACCCAATGCCCCCAGCCTGTTCCCGCCTCTATCTCCCAGATGTTTACATCGATAACTGTGCCCAGCTCTCCTGATGGCCATATTTGTTCCCACTCCCGGTGCTTCTGTGCCATGTCCTTTGTTTCGATGTCCACCCCAGGCCCAGCCTCCTGAAGCCCATGGCCCTGCCCCCACACCTCGTGTGCCCACTCTCCTCTGCCCACATCCCTCTGCCCACCCGTGTGTCCAGCCGCCCCG